TCTTCTCGTCTCCGCGCCTCTATCCCGCGTCGATTTCACAATGTGTTCGTGGAATGCGAGTGTCGATCACTCGGCTCCTTGTGTACACTCCGCCGATTTTCAATTTCCGGTACACTCCAACGGTTTCCCATGAGTGTGAATTGAAGGTGCTGCCATTCAAATTCTTTCCCATGCAGCACTATCTTTTATGTCCCCGTGTGTACTTCACCGTTCTTGTGACCGTGAAGCTCCAAAGTCCTCATTTGTGCATGCTGAGTACCTTCTCTTGAGTACCTGTCTAGAAGTTAAGTCTTACTTCTTTCCGATTTGTCCCTCCGGGTTCGGACCTCACTGCCCTTCTGAAGGCAATCAATGCGTCTGAGGGTCCCTCCGGATTGCTACTACTACCTCCTCTCCACCGTAACAAAGTTATTCTATTCTAATCTAATTACTTATACTCTAAAAGGTTAAAAACTACCTCAATTCCAACATACTATTCTATTTCCGAAAAATTAAAAAAACTGACCTATCACATTTATATTGCAATTATATATTACAAACAAAGTTAAGTGTATTTTGTTTTTATATCTTTTTATAGTCTGAGTTTTTGGATGTATATGTTATAATATGTTATTATTATTTCATATATATATATATATATATAAACTTTATTTTTACATTTGTATTGCAAAAATCATTGTAATGATAAATGCAAAAGTTGTCAAAGAATCATTGTAAAAAAAGAAATTGTTCCTTGAAATCCAAAGTGTGCATGTGCTTCACTAATTACAAATGAGCTCAACCAAAATATAGAGTAATTGTTTAGATGGGGTTGTACTATTTCACAAAAAATTTATATGCATTTTAAATACCATATTCAAATAGGAGGTTTAGATTGTACTTTCAATAATCCTGCTCTACTTTCATGATCCATTATAGGAGCTAAAGATGATACAAATAATTTGAAAAATTTGCATAACATCAAAGCAAAAATGGCAAAGAGTAAATAAATATATTTTATCAAAACAATCAATGGTCTCTGCACATTTGAATTAATGCTTTTTCACGCTTTGCCTTTTAAGGTATGTAATTGTCAAATCGACTCAAAATTTTATGTGGATCTTTCAATCCAAATGGCAGTTGGCTATGATGATTCATTATTACCAAAAAAATACCCTTGCATTTAAAGTTTAGGATTTAGCAATAATCAAATCTGATGTAAGTTTTAATCTAGTTGTATCTTGAATTATTGAAAAAAAAATTTACACGGTATGATTAAAAATATTGATTATATATTTTGTAAATGCATTTACACACATTGCATATTTTATTTATATGCTAATAACTAATCATATTATTGTGTATTGTGTTTTGTCGTTATGCAGTTTTCATTTTTTACTCTGGTTGCATTTGATCGTCATCAAATGGATTGTCAGTTGCTTGAAACATTTTATAAAAGAAAAAATACAAATGATGAAAGTGGAGTTAAAAAATAAAAATGAAGTTGTAGCATTAAAAGTTAAATCTGATTGGAAATCAAGTTGTTTCATAATTGATTTTGCTTCTCAAAAGGTGATTGCATTGAATTCTGTATTTCCAAAAGATCCAATCATTTTTTGTACATTTTATATTTCAAGTTAATTCTGAGATCTTGTACATATTTTATGATTATTTTTATATGCAGATGTATGTATAAAGAAAATTCCAAAATATTTATTCCATATTGATGACTGTTACCGTTAGAGTACATTAAAAATTGTTTTATTAGTATTTGCATATTTTTAAACACATTTTATGTGTTTGAAGTACATGGAAGCAAAACTTGATCCAAAAAGTAAAAAACCAAACACTATTTCAATGCTCTTGGAGATATGATGCATGCCAATATTGAATTTTTGATGTGAGATTATTGGATGCTATTTCAAACTAGATTTTTGGAAGAAATTGAGTTTTAAAATTAATCTAGACAAGATTGTATCAAAAAATAGTTTTAGTATTTCCATTGTGTTTATGTTTATTTATTAATAATTTAGAAATACAATATTGAACATGTTTTTTGTATGTTATTTCACACAGACAAATGATTGATAATTTGTCACAATTTTATTTATGCAAATCATATGACAAATGTGGCAAAAGAATTTGACATCCAAGCATGAAAAAGATGATTCAAAAAATAATATGTGGTTTGAAAGCTCATCGTTTGTAGAAATGCAATTAAATTGCTATTCAATTGGAAAAAGTAATAATTAGCTATTTCCGGTGTATGGACAACATAATGAAATGAACTACTGGAAAATTGTATAATTTTGCATTTATATTTATTGATTTTTTCAATTATTTATTAAATAATAATTAATGATATATGTTAATATTATATGAAGATGACACTTTGAGATCTTTCAAAGCCAAATTTTGGTGAGATAATATATTCAAAATCAAGAACCATATACATCTTTCAAAATAATTTTTTATAATGTCTTCATGTGATTGTTTATAGGCTGTGAAAGTAAACATACTCCTTGATGTGCAAAGGACATCAAGGAGTATGCATTATTCAACAGCATAGAACATGGGCGGGTTTGCAGTATGCGTATTGATACATACTAACGATCTCACTTGTTAGTGTAACAAACAGAGCAAGATTGTGGCAATTTAGATGTGAATCAAGATGTATTGGGATTTAAGGAGATAAATATATGTGTTGAAAAATGAAAGTAAGCTTGTATGTAAATAGAAAAAATAATATCTCAAAATGATATCATAATGTACATGACATTAGCTACGATGACAAATACTTGTATGATTGAAAACTTCAAAATCAATATCAACAAAAAAGTACACAATAACAACAGTTGACATGTTTAACATTGAACATAAAGTCAACAATTGTAGACAAGTATGATTGGGCAAAAGAATAAAATTTTTTTGGGATAAATAATCCAATACATTCAAAAGATTCTCCGATAAATGATTTTAACATGAATTGAATTGTTTATGTTATAATTTTATTTTGTAGATAGTTTTGATTTATTTATATATATATATATTTTAATTTGGTTACGGTATCCAGCTTATGTGTTACCAGATTTAATATATGTTGCCAGATTCAAGAAATGCGAAAAGGTCCAAGAAGAAGCACGAGACGCTGTCTACTAGTCACGCATGAAAACCCTCGTCTTTGACGTTGACGGTTGGTCTTGGACGGTAACGGGGACAGCTCAAATTGTACTACGCATGTATACCGTAAACCGAAAATGACTACTTCCGAGGTCGATCTAGTGAAAAGTCTAACAACGCAGAAGAGCAACATACTTTGCCTCCGAGCACTGAGAGTAGACTGCCGTAAGGGCAGAGCAGAGAATCTGCGGTGCACACGAGAATCATCTTTCCCTCCCGCACCCGAGCTTGGCAAGTCGTTGCCCTTGTCATCTTCGATCGGCGCAAAAGTCGGTTCCGGGCGATGGATTAGCGGCACCAACAGAATTCAGCCAAGACAATGAATGGGAGCTGAGCTTCAGTGCTTGCTTCTATCCGCGGTAAACGGTGGTTGCCATCACTCCTCGTGCTCCAAGAGGCCTGGCCTGCCGCACTGGAGGTCAGAGCGGACAACAGTCGTCTACTTCCATAACACTTCCGCGGTGAGAAGCAGAGGTGATGGTTTTCATGCAGTCGGTAAGTCGCATTTCTCTGTTGTAAATTTGTGATTAAATTAGTCCCTTCCAATGGATTCTCTGCAAGGTGTTCGACTACGTAGTCTCCTGTGTGTGGAAGAAGCAGCAGCTACAGCTGTTCGTAACCTAGCATTGACAGCTCCAGACGACAATCTATAAAACAACTGGTTATCAGTGGCTGGAGCAAATTGAGGCTGGCGTAAATGGACAAACATCTGACTAATTATGCGCTCCCAATATTTATTTATGAAGGCCACAGAAGCAGCCTAGTCTTCGGGAGAATGATTCTAACGAACATTAATGGCTCTCGTAGACCTCTCTATAAAAATAACAAGAGGACAAAGTTATTGGTTTTTAACATGGTCCTCCCATGGGCTGAATTATTACATCTCTTGGATGCATTCCTATAGGTGCACTAATTCTCTATCCAAATTAGCCATGTGTAACCCGTTATCTGGGTGAGAATTCGCCCAGGGCTCTTGTCCGCTGCCAGAACCCATGTATGAAGTATCGGAGGTGATGTGGAGTAAATCACTTTGGATGCTCGAATCTCGTATTCATGTAGACGTGGAATCTTGCCGTGCGATTGTGTCTTATCGACATGCGAAAGAGACGGTAGAGTTGATCATTCATCATCTTGAGCCAAGTTTAGATCCTTGTTACGTCAAGTCTGGAATCTGGCAAAGTATCCCATCTAGCTCGAAAGATGGAAAGAGTTCAATGATATACTACTGATTGCTCGATAACAAAAAAACACCACAGCTTGTTGTGTCGAAGATGGAATCTTCTTAGGCTTCATCACAATCAACGGAAAAAGTCGAGAGGTGCATTTTTTGAACTACGGCCAACAATCTCTTGTGGCATTGGTTCAAAGTTGTATGCTGAGTCTGCCAGTAAAGGGAAAGTCGGACATTCAAATCGCTACAGTCCAGGAAGCAAGACCGCATGCATATCATTCAGCTCATCATTGACTCTTAGCGTATCTGTGGCAGCGTTACAGCTTGTCCTTATTGTCTATGTAAAAGCTCCTCCATGACAAATGACCTTGCTTTCTTGTGACTGTGACATGCAATATGTGTAATTCGATTCGTCAATTCGAAGCATGACCACCAAATTATACTTTGTTAAAAATAAAGACACGAATGTAGGGAAAAAAAAGTAAAAATAATTTTGCTATTATTTAATCCAAATAAAATTTCAACAATTTCCAACATTTAAGATTATATATACATCAAAGTATTTAAACTTAAATCATGGTTCTAGACATGTAATCGAGTACGTGATTAAAGAAAAAACCCTTACATTCGAAACAAATCATTGATATAGTTATTAGTTACAAGTGTATACATACAGAATCAAGAATAGGAGGCAACAATTTTATGTTTTTCTAAGAAATGTTCACCAACAAAACGAACGAGATTGATACCCTTTTTCAGTAGACTCGTAGGAAAGTAATCAATTGGATCAAAAGAATGGGAGAAGTCAATCATGCGATAACAATGATAGAATCGCAACGGACTCAACCGCACACGGTCACGAGCAAGGGCCGAGCACTCCTCCGCTTCGTGACCGAGAAGCGGAAACGCTACGATGTTCAACAATTTCGTGCGGGCTTGGACTCGCGCAGAGCGAATGGCTCTTGACACAATGTGCTGCGCATCATCGTCATAATGGCAGGCCAATGGCAATGGCAATGGCCTGAGAGTTGAACACGGCTCGATGCTTCCAATTCGGAAGTCCTCGAGTTCCTTTATTGCCTTGACCTCGTGACAAGCGAATCTAGTCTTTTCTTCTTCTTCTTCTGGAGCGGCAGTGGAATTGTCGATGTTGCCACGCGTTCTTCTTGCTCCTCGAATGAATTGGGGGCTTTCCTATGGAGAGGGCATCTTCAACGAGACTGGTTCCGAACATCGGAACACAGATGATTGAATATTTGTACGTAAGTTCCCCGTCGCGCGAGCTGGCCAAACTGTGGGAATATTCCCGAGCACTGGACGATTTGAAACCGGAGGTCGTCGTCGTCGTCACGAACCGAAGAGATCGATTATCTTCTTGCGCGGGATTCATATCCTGCTTTCAGCCGAGGGGACGCACGAGCTCGTGTAATGCACAGACCGATCACGTTTCTTTCTTGTAGTAATTCAAGTACCAGCTGACAAATCTCTTCAACCCAGAATGGAGATCGGTGGTGGGGCTGTAGCCCAGTTCAGCTTTGGCTAAGGACACATCGGCGTGGGTGAAGGGCACATCGCCATTCTGGGGCATCTGGATGTACTTCTTGTTGGCTTCCTTGCCCAGCAGGTTCTCGAGAGTGCTCACCAAGCAGGACACGGTGACGGGAGTGGTGTTGCCCAGATTGAAAGTTCGCAATTGCGCCGGGCCCCGCTTCTTACCGCCGCTGCCTGTGCTGGGCTGGGCCGTGTCCAGAGAGGCCACGCAGCCCTGCACGACATCGTCGATGTAGGTGAAATCTCGAGCAAGATCGGTATTGTCGGGGCCCTTGAACACTGTGATCTGCTTGTTCGACAGAATGTCGCGCGTGAAGGAGAAATACGCCATGTCGGGACGGCCCCAGGGGCCGTAGACGGTGAAGAATCTGAGCCCGGTGATGGAGAGGCCGTAGATGTGGTTGTAAGTGTGCATGAACTCCTCGCCGGCCTTCTTGGTGGCGGCGTAGAGGCTCGCGGGGCTGTCCGTGCGGTCGCTCTCCGAGAAGGGCACTTTGGTGTTGAGCCCGTAGACCGAGCTCGAGGACGCCCAGATCAGAGCTGGCTGCGGGTTCGCCTTCACGCACACCTGCAGAAGAGTGATGAGCCCGGAGATGTTGCTGTGCACGTACGAGTGCGGGTTCTCGAGCGCGTAGCGCACTCCGGCCTGCGCCGCCAGGTGCATGACATGCGTGAACGGGATGATTCCGAACAGGGTCTCGAGCAGCCGCGCGTCGTTCAAATCGCCGTCGATCACGAACACGCCCTCCTTCTCCAGCAGCGCGCGGCGGGCCGCTTTGAGCGACGGGTCGTAGTAGTCATTGAAATTGTCCAGGCCCACGACGCCGTCGCCTCGGCGCTTGAGCGCCAGGGCCACGTGCGTGCCGATGAATCCCGCCGCGCCGGTGATCAGAATGAATTTGTCGCTCCCTTGGGCTGGCAGGCACGACTTGAGCGCTCGCTCCTCCCATTGCTCCTGTCAGCAGTCCAGTCAAATTCAGGAAATTCCTTCGTCAGCCCCCGTAGTCCATGTTCACGCACGTACCCACATTAGCAACAAAATTCTGCAAGCAAACGTCGGGCACTACGAGGGACAGAAGCACTACCATGGATATGCACAATCGCTCGATTTCCTGATCGGCTTTACGGTCCGGTTCGAATCCCGGTGCGAGGTGCAGAGAGCTCGCTGTCTTAAGACTGCTCGATGCGACCGAAGAACTCATGGAGACAGCTCGTTCGATGCGACCGAGAGTAAAAATCCGCAACCGATCCCCGAGCTGAAGTGTAGAAATAAATTCGAGAATAATGGTTCGAGAAGGCCTTTTAGTCGAGGAGAGTGCCAATCCTCAGTACCACCGAGTGAATCGGAAACCCGGACCCGAGCGCTGGAGAAAGTGGAGGGCGAAGCGAGGTCGGTGTGTCCGAAGCAAACGATGACACCTCGAGATGGTGCAGCGTCCATCTCTCGGGTCCAATTTATCGACATTGCGCCACCGAGTCGGCCTCACATTTTCTGTACTTGCGTTGCGACGTATCCTCGGTCGTTTGTTCGTTTCTGTCAGGAGGTCTTCCCTTTCGCAAAGAACTCATAATAGCTGCGCATAAGTGCAGCAGAAGTCGCGTAATTATGAGCCCAAAGCGTCGGTGACGTGCCTCGCCTGCATGCCTGCCTGGTGCGTCCATCGACCGCAGCTAAGACTCCCTCCACTTTAGCGCCACCGCCATCTTCCGCCTCCAAGTGTACAGCGTTTGTGCGCGTGCGGAGGCGGCGCTAAACTGGCGGAGTTTTCGCTGACGCTGCGTACTGAGCTCGGCCGGTCAAAAGATTCGCCGAGTCCCGACAATGATCCGTCGAAGAGGAAGGGCGGATTGGAAAAAGGGAGAAAGGGAGAAAGGGAGAAAGGGAGAGAGGGACGAAGGAAGAAGAGCAGATCTAATTCGTTGAGAAAATCCAATTCGTTGATTCTTCGATTCTCGGGTCGGCTCGGGTCGGCTCGCATGAACCCAAAACCCTCGGCGACAAGGTCGTGCTTGCCTTGACTCCGTGCCGTTTTCATGTTCTGAGGGTTTCTCCGCTTTTCCCAGACGTACGCCTTCTGCTGACTTGCATCAATCCGTGACCTGGCTGCGAGAGAGCGATCGATCGAGCGAGTTAGAGAGCGAATGAGGAGTATCGCCGACGAGAGGCGCGACATCGTGTTGTGTCCGGCGGGTGGGGAATTTTCTCCTCGAGGACGGCGTTTGTTCTTTCGCACATCGCTGGGTTTTGTCGAGCTGGCCAGTGATCTTTCCGACGCCCTGTTTCCGAGATTAATCGGAGTATGCCCTCTTTTAAGAATCCTCTATCGTACGCCGGTTTTTTGGACGATGGCGGATCAAGTTGACCTCCTTCAATCGCCCGGAAAGTAATCTCCAGAGACATTGGCAATTGTGAAATAGATTCGAAAGCTGAATCGGCAAAAGTTTTTATCTTCGACGAGGTGCGCTTTAGATGCTCTTTCGGCCGAGCGAAAGGTGTGGTTGAACTTTTGAGAGTCGGCGCTGGGAGCTCTCATGACTCTCTCCTTGGGCAAGCGCTCCCTTTGCCTTTTTGTTTACCTGCTCGTCCTCGATGGCGTTGCGATTTTCTTCTTTACCCGTGGGTTCCTCCTTACAAGGACCGAGCTCTCTGTTTTTAGTGAGTGTTCGGACGTTTCGAATTGTCCCTCATGCTTCGATCGATCACTCAAGTGCCATACCGAGGATCAACAGGCAGAAGATCTGGCGGCCAATAGACCGACCTCTGGATTGCTCATCGATTCCCACTGCACGCATGGTTTAGATGAAGGAGCGAAGAATGTAGCAGCGGGAACTTCGAAGCAAGTCAATGACTTCAACGAGGGATGTTGGACACTGCCGGCAATCAAAAAGGCTGTTATCCTCATCATCGACGCTTTAAGGTGCGCGTATCCTTCATTTGGCCGGAGATCTAATATTTCCGAAGGAAGTCATAGCTTCTGGATGTAGTTTGTGGGTCAAGTTTTGAGTCGGTTCAGCCCGTGCGAATCCCCTGATGGGTAGCGGAGATTTGGACGAAGGAAATAAGAGAGCATTCCAGCCATCCAAGGTGTGAAATGTACGATGCATACGCTGGAATTTGGAGAATCTGCTCGCCGTGACCATATCTCTGGATCTGGTCAACTTCCTGCCGACTGTTTCCGACGTGACAGCGACATAGGAAATTATATCCCCGGAAATTAGGCACTTGTGTGTTCTCATGCTTTGCCCGTGGTTACACTTTCATTTGGTGGCTACGCTTTACTGCCTGAATCCCCTCAAGATGTTTGATGCCGAAAGATTGATCTGCTCACACTCGTCTCGTGCAGATTCGACTTCGTTGCACACAGTAGGAACTTCAATGGAGGTAAGAAGAGAGGTCAAAACTCTGTTTCCTACTATAAGGTGTCGCATATTGTTTTCAGACACAAGTGAAGCGGGGACTTTTCTTGTTCTGTGCTCATGCGTAAAATTATATTGTACGGGAGTGTACATATCAGTAACTGGAAAATGAGCCGGCCAAGATTTCGTACCTCACTTATTTGCAGAGCCAAAGCCATGGATGGATAAGCTTTCGATATTACAGCGTTTGGTTGAAGAGCAAAATTCCACCGCTCGCATCTTCAAATTTATCGCTGATCCACCCACTACAACTCTACAAAGGCTGAAGGTGATACCTTCATCAACTTGTCCATACATATTTTTTCATGCTAAGTCGTTCAAATTGAATGATTTATCCTTATATCAGTTAGTTCATCAGACAGTTGGTACACCATTCTGTAGTCAACCATTGAAGATGGCCATTTGCATATCTTTGACCTTGGTGAGTTGGGTGAATGTATTTCGCTTCTGCAGGGCATAACAACGGGTGGTTTACCAACATTTATTGATATTGGCCACAGTTTTGGTGCTCCAGCCATCGCTGAAGACAACTTGATATCACAAGTTGGGATGCTCACCACCTGCGTTCTTACTTTTGTGAAAGGTCGTCTGTTTGTCCTTGCAGACACTATATTTGTGCCTGTCTTCCGCATGTGATCCGGTTGAAAAGGCTTGCTAGATTTCTCCAGTGTATATGTTATGTGACACCAACGGAGCAATACTTTTACGTTTGCTGGGAAAGGCAGTTGAAACTGGGCGTCTGTCATTTATTACGTGTTTTTTTTTCTCCCATTGCAGCTACAGAGAACGGGAAAGAGGGTTGTGATGATGGGGGATGATACTTGGATGCAGCTCTTCCCAACTCAGTTCTCCATGGCTTATCCTTTTCCATCATACAATGTCAAGGACCTTCATACTGTGTGTGCAACCTCTACCGTAATCTGCAATTGTCAACACTTACGTACTGCTGATAGTTGTAGATTTAGTCTACGAAGGACTACGTAAAATCTTTCATCAAACGCAGGGACAAGTCATAGAGTTATCTTTAAAAAATAAACTGTAATGCGTTTCCAGGTCGACGATGGCGTAATTCGTGAGCTCTTTCCTGCTCTGCATCGAAATGATTGGGACGTTTTGATTGGACACTTTCTTGGCGTGGTACTTTCCTATTTACCAGGCATGATGCCTAACTACCCTCAATCTCTTCATAAATTGCATACATTCTCTCGACACTCCTTTCGTTATAGCTGTTACTTCCAATCGCTTTGATTGGAGTCATTTATGCGAGCAGAATCGCGTGGTGCATACCAGTCTTGAGGATGCTGTGTGAAGGGTTGTTTGCACCAGAGATCCGTCTCTAGATTTTAAATTATTTGTATGCTGTCTATTGGAATAGCTTCGACCTTGCGTAGAGTGCAACCTTTTTTTGCTGTGTTCGTCGCAGTAGACAGTCTAATCCATTTATGCAGTGCTCAGTTTTGTCCTGAAGCTGACGTACATTTGCTCTTTACAACAGGATCATGTAGGTCACATATTTGGTGTAGAGTCCCCTCTTATGGTGGAGAAGCTGAAGCAGTACAATGACGTCATTGAGGTATAACTATCGTTTCTCTATAGTTTGTGTTAAGTGGGAAGCAAAGGATGCAAAGTAGATATATAATAACTATTCAAGAAATGAAGAAGAGTTCTCCCGCAGATCAGTCTGTTTGCAAGACCGTAGCTTGCTCCAAGATGCTCTCCATATATCATGAACCGTGCTACTGCCGTGCAGAATGTGGCCACATTGCTGAAAAATATGTCAGAGCCTGGTGGGTTGCTCGAAGATACCTTGCTCATCGTAATGGGAGACCATGGCCAAACTTTGAACGGAGATCATGGAGGAGGAACACCCGAAGAGGTAATGTTGCCTGTCCGTTTCTTGAAACAGATCGTCTGGAATAATACTTCATACTTGATGCCTATTTATCGAATAATTGTTGTCTTGACATCACGGAACTGAATACCAATTCGCACAACATTATGCTTGATCTCAATTTCCTAGTGAAGCTCAGTTTGTCAATATTATCCGTTGATTGGTCAGTAGTACTGATTCCTGCGTTCTTAAGAGTCTTGCAGGTGGAGACTGCACTCTTTGCTCTAAGTACACATCACAATTCGAGGTCTTCTCTTCCTGAATCGCTAAAATCATGTGAAGTTGTAAGTAAATGTCACAACAAAAGCGCAAACGCAGCTTCTTCCATCAAGTGTGCTTCATTAGAGAAATGAGTCGTTAGCTCTAGTCATTAAGTTCTCATATCATGTTGACGGTGGACACACGTGACGTTTCGTTGTCAATGCATTCCGGTTCTCATTTCACCAGACCTTGACAAATCCATCCCCGGCCACAATGGTGTGTGATGTACAGGAAGATCCAGTTATTGGTTGCATCAGCTCCATTCCCCAGGTTATTACTCTCGCTTAACCGCTTTGATATTTCGATAGTGCGCTGTGGATAACGGGTGCTGGGACAGTTTGATCTGAAAAATATTCTCTTGCAAATTGTGCAGTTGGACTTTTCGGCAAGCATGTCATCATTCCTCGGTGTACCATTTCCATACGGAAGGTTTAATTCTACTTATGAAAGCCAAAGAAAGTAGTGTTTCTATTTTTGAAGCCTCTTTCCCTATAACCTTCTCACAGTCGTTTCAGGGTATATAAGCGCTCTCACTAATTGGATGGTCATCACCCTGAAAGTGTAATCATTAACTTTCCTGCTGCAGTGTGGGGCAAGTGAATGCAGAGTTGTTCGATCTTGTCGCTAGAGATGCCGTCTCCTCTACTACACACGTGGAAGATGATACAGTATGGTCAAAGGCTTCTTTGACGTTGATGGAACATTATAAAGAAGTGCTGTGTATAAACAGCTGGCAGGTGATCAATCATTCCAAGTCTCCAGCATCCAGCATATACCGGGTGCATGATTCATTGTAGCTCTAGCTTGCAGATTATGTGGACGTGTGAAGTATGAAATCATCATGCATATTTCAACATGCAAGCTATGCAACCAAATCCTGTCTATTTGGATATATAACTGATAGTTCTTGTTTTTGGAATAGGTGAAAAGATACTTTGAGGCATACTCTGCAGTTGCCATAAGTGGGTTTCCTCCACAGGATCTAGCGCGATTGACCGACTTGTACTCTACAGCACAAAATATCAACACTACAGAAAGAGACCTGTTTTGTAGTTGGGCTTCCTCTACCGATGAATCGAGTAGAAAAGCGACGAGACAAAGAATTCTAGACGAAGTTCAGAAGCAAGTCGAAGCTTTTAGAGAGTACTTGAAAGCTGCAGCTGCTCTAGCGCGATCTCAGTGGACACAATTTGGCATTGAGTGGATGGTTGTCGGTTTATCATTCTTAATTGCATCTGTAGTTATACGAGCTGCTGCACTACGTCGACTTTCTCATAGTGGTAAACAGAGGTGGGAGGCAGGGCTGTTTCCCACTAAGCCGTTACTCATAAACAGCATCGGAGCTAGTTATCCTATAATTATGCTGGTTGTTCTGCACCCACTTCTGACGAGAACACCCTTGCAGCCCGTTGTGACGTATATACGAGACAATCTTAGCATAGTGGTTGTCTGTGTTACTGTAGGAGCATCAGTTATGGCATACTTGACGTCGTCACCTAGGTCTTTTTCTGAGAAGAAGTTTAGAACCTTAGCCAACGAACAGAAATCCGATCATAGAAAATGGTCCTGGGACATGGAGGTTGACTTTAGAAGTATAGCGGCTACTGTCTTTGTGATACTCCATGGTTTCAGCTTATTTTCGAACAGTTATATCGGTAAGCATTTCATCTCGTGTTTCAACTGCACTTTATTTATTGTCGCTTGCGAAGCTCAAACAATGATCTTATACGTGGCCTTCACTGTTATCTGCAGTGGCAGAAGAATCTGTGATCAATTACTTGATGGCCTCGTCAAGCATTGTTTACTTAAGATATTCTATTAAGGCGCGTTCAAAAATTGTCCAGGTGAAGCTTAACTTCTAATCTATTCTTTATCACCTTCGAAACAAATTTCTCTAGCGTAGTCTTGGTGTTAATTGTAGTCGGTAGATGTGGCGTTCATTTAATTCTCCATGCTTACCAAAAGCCATCTAACAGTAAAACGGGCGGTACAGTATAGCGAGATAGAACCAGTATTCATTTGTATTTGCCCGTCATAGCCTCAAGACTAAGGACAGCTCCTCTATGGTCAGGGGACCTTAGAAGAGCTTGTTTTTGGGAAAGTTTCGAATGGACTTTAGGAAGAAATGATAGAAAGATAATGTCGTTGATAGCTCTGTTCATGTACAAGTCTAACTATCGAATACTCTCGCAGGCTCTCTGTTTTATGGTACTCGTGTGGGTTTTACCCAGGGTACAAACTCTAGCTCTTTTCAAGGGGATGAAAGCCGTCGACAGTTCAGGGCCCTTGTACTCAACTCTTGCAAGCAGAAATCTGCTTCTTCAAGTGATCCTGACCTGCACAACCGTAGTACTTCCCCTCCTCGTCGTCACATGGATATTAAGGTGCAGATTAGGGAGATCTCACTATTGTGCTGGAAGATTGTGGAAGACTGTACGTAGCGGGGTATCCATCAGCTACTTTTTAATCGGTGTTTACTGGATCATCATGGATCTAACAAACACCGAGTTTATAACGATGGACGACGACATGATGAAAATTGTGCGTTTGTACATCCCTCGTATTATCTATATGACCTCTGTTGTAGTCGTCTTAGCCACTATCACAGCAGTTATTTTCAGCTGGGCAAGACCGGGAGTCGAAGTTGCTTCTTCAGCAAAGCTGTTAATAGAAACTGGGGCCAGTGTTGCAGCTGGATCCAGTGGAACAATTTTACTTCTGATGGGAAGAAGGGGGCCCTTGATTTCAATGCTGGTTATACTAGAAGGTATGTACCAAACTTCATTGATCACTTACCACACAATGACCACGTTTCTATGGATATTTTGTATAAAGTAGGGAGCAGACATCAAACAGTTGTTCAGGCCTTACGTTTACAGCTAGTAGCCACACATTCTTTGATCACTGACCACACAATGACTACGTTTCTATGGGTATTTTGTATAAAGTAGGGAGCAGACATCAAACAGCTGTTCAGGCCTTACGTTTACAGCTAGCAGCCGGTGTTTGATACGTGACGACTAACTGACGAAAATGTCGGCTCCTGAACCCAGCGTATGCATGTATCATCCTTTTCTTGTTGATCATATGTCCATATCTGCCGTTGTCGTTGTCAGTGTGGTGTTTCTTGGAGCTTCAAGCTATTACAACCACAAGCGGATCGACTGACTTGAGTGATGCTGAGGACGAGAGAAAAAGGGTTGACAAAATAGTTCAGTCATTTGGAGCAACCGCTGACTGGAGTATGGTCGCCTTACAGCTTTTCTTTTCAACGGGCCACAGGTTTGTCTGCTCGTCAGTTTTTAGATTTCGAAAACTGCTCGAAACTTCTTCCGTTGATCAATCTTATCAATAGCTTTGTATCTTCATGTGTCTAAGGAGTGGGGTCTTGTGTTTTCCCAGCTGTGCATTTGACGGTCTCCACTTTTCCGCCGCATTCATCGGGTAAGTCGATTGTCCCCCTCCTGTATCGAAAAGTACTATTGTGCTAATTGTCTACAGGTGCGCCTGTTTTCATAAAATAATCTCAAGCATTGTTGCAAACTTCCATCTAACAAGATCCAGTTAATTTGTACCGGTCCAGATTCGACGACTTCGGCTTTTACCAGCAGGGTATACTTCTTGCAGTTGAGACGTTCGGAGCATCCCATTTGCTGCCTGTCTTCGGACTTCCAGTTATAATCTTGTTGGGTCAGAACCTCTTACGATCTCGCGGGCGAGACGATGAGAGGATGGTTATTACGGAGGTTACGAAGGTAAGTGTGAACCAGAAAGTCGTGGTTGCTTCTAAGACTTAAGATATTAGATTTAGTATCAACTTAGGTCGAAGTAGTATGTCTGCGAGAATAGATAGAGCCCATTCCTAGTCCTGTACGTTATTGGAAGTTATATTGTTTTTGTGTTTATCTCACAGTGGACTTTCCATGGGACTAAGTTTAACGTGAAATATAATATCTCGCAGGGCTACTTATGGTTTGGTACTCTTCGGGCTATAATTGCAGTCATTACGACGGCTAGCGTTTGCATACAAAGACGTCATTTGATGGTATCTTTTGACTTCGTTGCCGGGATTAGTTCATGCTGGCTTCTGCTTGTTGCTATCTGCGAGTGTTCCTTGTGAGAACCAAGCAAATTTTCTTAACTGACGTAATCCTTTCTTTCGTGTTTTCTAGGTCTGGGGTATCTTCGCACCAAAGTTTGTTTTCGACGCTCTGGGTTTCTTAGTGCTAGATGTGCTCGTCATTTTAGCAACCGCTATTTTTTTAATCTTCCGAAGACCAAAGCAGCACGAGGCTTGATATATTAGCTTGGTAATTTGATGAGTTGGAAATGATGAATCAAACCTCGACTTTGGAAGGAAGATGTCAAACCGGGATGATCAACCTTATCGTACCTTGCAGTCAGAAACAGTGAAGGTAGTGTGCTGGAGTTGATCTCTTGGACTGAAGGCACAGGCCCGGTTTCTGCACCTGCACCCAAATCCATGGAGAGGAGTTTCGGACGGCTTAGAGTATAAGTTTGGCGCGTCAGAGTTGTTTGTCTAAGCTTTCTCTCTCTCTTGATTCCTTCGTCAACGATCGATTTGTATCCTTCTAATTAATCATATGAAGAGAACTCCGAGGAAGGTAAGACAATGGTGCTTTACAAAGAGGGCCTGTATTACTCTTAAGGTATCAATACTTTAACTCATGCTTTGATGTATGGGCTCGATTGTATCGATTCACGTTTTGTGATATGAAGCACACACTCTCTACGAGTACGTCTGTGGTGGCTCCCCAGTGTCCGCTGTGCATATGATTGGTCCATCTACGTTTGAATGCTCACCTATACGCAGGTATCTGAAGTCGTACAGTTTTAACACTCCCCGCTTGATACCTAGTTTAGGTAGCCTGTATGAGCCCTGTGGGGAATCAGTTGATAAATATTTTGTTGCGCAATCCGATATCGATTTGTCTTGCAAAAAGTGGAAAATCATTTAACTTAAAACTTAGTGTTTTATTGCATTGAGTAAGTGGTATTTTCTGCGACGGTTAAATGAATTCTGTTGAGATAACCATATGAATCAATGGAACCAAACTAGAATTTGTGAAATGTAGATTTTTATCTTCAATCTAGTAAAAAAAATTATCAACAATGAAAGAAAATATACCGTATTGCTAGAGCCTGATGTGAGGAAACATATTCTTGACTAACTTAGTGCCAAAACTTTTGTTTTACCAGGATGTAACGAGGACGACACCCATGAATGTCGCTTCACTAATTTTAGGTTATCTTTGTTGAAGGCGACATTAAAGTAGATTTATTTCGGTCTACCAACACTATTATTCTTCTGTCATTTATTAATCGTTACTACATGAAGCATAATTGCGCCAAATGCTTCGTGAACCTCGTTCATGCAACTCAGTACAATTAACAATAAGTGTGGAGTCTTAAAAAATCTATGTCTATCGTCCCACACAACATGTATCATTGCTGTCATAGTGTATCATGTATGTCATATCCATCAATATATTTGCATTATGAAGGAAAACATGATTGAACTATGATTGTTCTACACAGTAGTAATGGTTTTGAACCTGGTTATGCCAGGAAATGTTACATTTTTCACATGATTCCCCATAAACTTTGATGGAATGGTTTTAGATTAATAGTGTCAGCCCAAATCTGTGAATAATTTTAGTTTTCTTCCAATCATATTTGCATTATTTATAGTACTCCACTTTCATTTTATGGTGGAGAGGAAACTAAGTGTTTCCTTCAAATACTTTTAAGGAGTATTGAATATGATTAGAGACTAATTAATAAAACGTGGTTGAAGTCCTTAAAACACATCACAGTAATTCATTATAAGGCGGTGAACAAGTAGATATATCCATATAATTGGCAAGAAAAAGGAGGTGTAATAAAAGCACATTTTTTAATGATGCAATATTGGTTATCAAACTGTATATTTTCTTTACTCATGTACTTTACTTCATATTGATCAGATTTAATAGTTTTAAACTATGCATATGAAAATCCATCTAAATTTATTTTGCTATTGAAAATAAAACATGATGACTTTGTAATTGTATGAAATTTTAATGATTCATTTACTTTATGAAATACATCTAAGCTTTAAGAGTAATTTTTTCATCTTATGTAGAATTAAAAAATAAAATTTCTTTATGAATATACATTAATATTTTTTAAATTTCAAATTTTAAACATGTGATGATAAATAAAAATAGGGGCGGTTAGTTATCACTCACTTAGGGTTAATTAGTACTCATTCTACTATTTGCTCTACATTCATTGGTAGTGTCGGGTTTTACTTTCCGTGGGATGAATAACAATTTCGCCGGTTTTACTTCTTTCTCCTTTTAGTCAAAGATGCCTTAGTGGCTAGAGACACGCCAAACACATGCCTGTCACCTCCGCGTTCGAGGTTCGAGATTGTAGCCTAACGAGAAGTTAAATGTATGTGTAGTGTTGAAGCCGTTCTCAAAACAAAATTTCAGCGTTTTGAACCACATTGAAGAGGCCGACTTGTCAAGGTGGAAACCTTGGAAGTACTATTCAATTGGAACTTGGGTGAGAGGCCACCGCTTTAACAGATTTAACAAACATCCAACTCAATCCAAAATCATTCACATGCTTATATAGACAACCAAATTCTTCTACTATTCGACAAACCATCCTAAAACTGCGTTCTCATACAAGAAGAGAAAATCATCATCGATTCAATCTGATGCAGACGGAGCATTGTGATCACAGTGCAGTTCGTGCTTGACTTGCTTTGGCGGATCGGGCCGCGCAGTGAGGTCACTTCTCCACCTATCCGTCCCAATCAAAGATCTATGCACGACCTGCGTGCTTTTGCGCAATGATTCCGAGGAATCATCATTTCTTACTGTCATGTCCAGCGACAAATCCTTGGATAATTGATTGCGACCTCCTTAGAACACAGAGTTCGCTACTACCAAGTGCTCATGCTCACTACAGATGTCGTGATCATCGGCATTAGCATTCGCCAAAGTGTCAAAATTCCAGAGTCGACTATTGAATTCAGCATCTTAGAGCACCTTGTGATATTTTTTCTCCTGAAAGCATCAAAACACTCGAAGCCCCGGAAAAACAGCCATTTTTTGAGAGCATGTTGAGGTCCAACAAACCAATCGAACCGTGTTAGATGAAGTACTCCATTGCGTTTTTACTTAGAGAGTACAATATTCTCCCACTTAAGTACGCAAATTGAATCCTAAATTTTTGTGCGTACTTAACCGGGAGGCGCGTACTAAACATTTTCAATTCAAAAGATTTTGCGAAGAGCTCCAATGTCAAAAAAATTGAACATTAAGGGCCCGAACGAATTTCAACAATGTAAGATCATTTCAAAACCAGAATACCCCAAGCAATTGCGGTTTAGCGCATGAGTATGAAATTAGCAAAAGTGTTATAAGCTAAATATGAAAGAAACAAGATTTCATTCTCGAACGATCAGCTTTACTCCTCAGAAAAAACTAGGCAGATTACCTTGAGAGCTTCAGTTGGACGATTTTCTGAACTTGAAGAAATGTTCTACACCTGGATTGACAGCATGCACTGTGCTAGGTTTCATGTACCGGCATCTCTTGCAATTGCAAAGGCAAAAGACATCGCTTTCATCAATTTTTGATTCAGATTTTAAGGCCTCACTGCAATGGTTTGATCGTTTCAAGACACGTTGAGGTCTGCAAAAAATGCTTTTGCATAGGGAAGGCGCAGAGGTTGACAAGAATGATACTGGTTTACTATCAGCCTTGGAAGTATTATCATTCATCATCGCTCAATACCTGAGAACGTCTACAACATGGATGAGACAATATGGTTTGTTTTGTTTGCTTCCCAGATATTCTATTCTTCTACCAAACAAGGATATTTCAAGCACTTGAGGTAAAAACAAAATGATAAAATTCCTTGCATAATGATTGGAAAGCCGAAGTATCCAAATCGTATCAAAGATTCCAACTGGCCAAGTCCTTATTTTAATCAACCAAAGGTTTGGATAGAAGTGAAAATCTACTAGAGATGATTCAACAAAATCGTTATTCCATAAATCAAAAGACAAACATGACTTCCTATTCTTTTACTGATGGATAATGCGCAAGTACACTTGTGGTGTGTTCGAAAGTAAGCCATGATCCACAGCACTTTCAAACGCAACAACATCCATGTGATAGTTTTTACTCCGAACTATACTAGTTGAAAACAACCTTGTGATATGAGAATTATTGCTGCTCTCAAGAAGTAATATAAATATTTATATCTCAATGACATTTTTGACTTTTACGAGCTTCACGAGTAATTGAAGGAGCAAAAAAGAGAAGTGGGAATAAGATTACGACGAGCTGTAGCATGAGTTTTTATGGAAGTCTAGCACATCTGTTGGATGCTTCACACTATGTGAAAGACGTTTGAGATTCGGTCTCATCAAATTGTGTAAAAAATGCATTTTGTAATACAAAGCTCATGAATTAAGAACCCAAAGCATGGATTGAGAGCAAAATTAGTTAGATTGTAGCTGAATTAGCTGAAACGATGAACAACTTAAATTTATCGATTGGCTAATCAGATTTGGAAAATTTTGTTCACATTGACAACAAAAGCAATGAAGAATATGCTACAGCATTGCTAGAAGACATCGAGGAATGGTTAGATTCGATGAGCACTGATGAAGCACATCTTGATGATGACAATATTAATTTAAGCGCGAAGATCATAGATTCATAGGATATGATTGATTTTTATGGATTTGAATACTTGTATAAAAAGATTACTGATATCAAGTATCAATTGCTCTATTCTACAATTCAAATAGAAGTCCAAGATTCATTTGACGATCTAAAAAAATTGTTTGAAGTATTTCAAGCTAAAGTACGAGCAGTAGTAATTAGTTTCATACGTGGAAAAAACTAGAACATGAGTTACGTTACAATTCACAATATGTTACATTAAAATCTTTGAAATTTAGAGTGAAATGTTTGAACTTTATAATGAAATCGCTGAAATTTACAGTGAAATAGTTAAAAATGTTGAAATTTCTGAAATTAACAATGAATTCACTGAAAATGTTGATTCCTAAAAATTGTCTTATAAAGTGCGTTTTTAATTGGGATGCGTACCTAAACGGGTGTGTACTTAAATGGGAGGCTACTGTACTCATACCGCAACTTTCAAGTGTGCTTTCGTGTCGAGCTCTTATCCTACTAGTCACTACACAACCTTTCTGCGAAGAGTCAGAGAGCGACAAACTTCGTCCACCCTAGAAGACAATATTCACAACGTAGTTCAAACGTGGAGATGGCAGACATGGATTTGACGTGGTTCTTGCCACGGAGGCATCTTTGACGAAGAGGGAAAAGAAGTAAAACTCTCGAAGTTGTTACTCACACCACCAATGAGTGACAATTGTATAGTAGGATGAGGACTAATTAACCCTAAGTGAGTGATAACTAGTCGCACTCTAAAAATATCACCACACATTAATATTTATTGTTAGAGGTTAGTATGAAGGTTAGTGTGAGTGTCAATTACCACTTCATATGTAAAGTGAATCACCATTCAAACTCTTAGACACACTAAAGTTAGTTTATATAATCTTTCTATGTGTTTATCCATATAGTACATGTGTATCCACTTTTGTGTTAATATATGCACTTTTATACTTTTAAAAACTGTACACCCACACAGATTGCAGTGATGCATAAAGCAACGGAGCGTGGATAGGAAGAGTAAAGAACATAAAAATTTTATAACCTTTATCCAAATTCTAAGAACTTTTGTAATATATATTTAGACAAAAGTAAGAACTTTCCTTATACAAAGTAATCCCGATGGTAGTGA